CGTACGTCCAGATTGGTTTTATGACCATTTTATATATTTTTAGTTTGTTTTCTATGCTTAGTTTGGATTTTCGACTTGTTAACCAGTACATTTGTCTCCTTGCCATCTGTATTTTGTTTATTGTTGCTTTAATATGCTGTTTCCATGTGAGTCGTGAATCTAAATGGAGTCCTAGGTATTTGACTTGCCTTGTTTGTATTATGTGTGTGCCGTTAAGTATAATGTTTGGTGGTTTCTGTTTCCGCAGTGTGAATGTAATGTGTTTGCATTTTTCGGGGTTTGCTTTGATTTGTTTTGCTTGAAGCCACTTTTCTATTTTTGTGATATGTTCTTGTAGTAATGTAACTGCTGTTGCAGGGTTAGTGTGCCTGACTAGTACAGCTGTGTCATTCGCGAATGTCAGTATTTTGCTGTTGTTAGTTGTTGGTATGTTGGCCGTGTATAATGTGTATAAAATTGGTCCTAAGACGCTTTGTTGCGGAACTTCTGCCTTGATTTCTTTAACTTCAGAGTATGTGTCTTTGATTTTTACTATGAAGCTTCTGCTGCTTAAGCATGATTTGATTAATTGGTATATCTGCCCCGGGAACTGTTTCCTGATTGATTGAAGTAAGCTAGTGTGGTTTATATTATCGAATGCTTTTTCGATGTCCATAAAGAGTGCCGTGCAGTATTGTTTTGTTTCCAGCGGCTGTAAGATTTCATTGACGAGTCTGTGCGTTTGCTCTATTGTGGAGTGTTTGTTTCTGAATCCGAATTGGTGATCCGGTATTAGATGGTTCTTCTCTATTATTGGTTTTATCCGGTCATAGATTATTTTCTCTAGTATCTTAGAGAACGCCGGAAGTAGTGAGATTGGTCGGCAGGATTTGGTTTTGTCTGGGTCCTTGCCTGGTTTGGGTATCATTATGATTTGTGCCAGTTTCCAAGCTTTTGGAAAGTATTGTATTCTTAGTATTGCGTTTACTATTATTGTGATTTATCTTATCGCTTTTGACGGAAGGTTTTTCAAGATTTTGCCGTTAATTAGGTCAATTCCTGGTGCTTTATTGTTTTTTGTTTTCTCAATTATGTTTCTGATTTCTTGTGCTGTTGCTTTGGGTATGGTGTAGTGATTGTCAGTTGGTGTACTAGTAGTTAGCTCATCCTCGTCCGTATGACTATTGTGGTTGCTGTTGTTGATGTTGTGTGGGGTGAAGGTGTTGCATAGGTAGTTGGAAAATTCTTCTGCTTGCCCTTCCTGCTTCTTACCCATGTGTTATCTGCTCTTCTGATTGCTGGGACCAGTTTTATTGTCTTCTTTATTCTTTTTTTTTTTGTGGCTTTCCATAGGGAGTAGTTATAGTTCTCGTGAGCAGATAGTGACTCGATGAACTTTGTGAACTCGTTGTTGTTGTGCTCTTTTATTTTCTTTTTTATTTCTTTTGTGAGTTTGTTTAGGTGTTTTTTGTTTTCTTTTGTTTTATGTTTTTGCCATTTTGCTTTCGCTTTTCTTTTTTTCTCTAATTTTTTCGAGGATGTCTAGTGGAACTGTTTTTGTTTACCTGTTGGTTGTTTCAGGTATAGTGGTTGCCCTTGCTGCTTCTTAGATAGTTTCTGTGGGTGTTGTTACTGCTTGATCGATGGGTTCAGGTGTTTTCAGTGGGATGGTGCAGCTGATTTTGCTCTCTATTATTTCTTTGAATATTTACCATTTGGTGGTTTTATTGCATAGCTTCTCTGTGCTGCTGTAAAGTATTGGTTTGTCTCTGTATGTAATTATTATGGGCGTATGGTTGGAGCTAAGCTCGAGGCTGGGTGCTATGTTTAGTTTATTTGCGTTTAGTCCCTTTGTAACTGCAAAACCTAGCAGGTCAGGTGTTTTGCTCAGGTCTGTCGGCCAGTATGTCGGTCTTCTTGTGGATAATATATTCAGGTTATTATTTCTAATGTTTTTTTCCAAGGTTCTGCCTCGAGGTGTGGTGAATCTTGATCCCCATAGCGTGTGCTTTGAGTTATAGTCTCCAGCTGCAATATACCTGTCACTTAAGTGTCGAAAGTACCCTTCCCACATTTGCGATGTAATTTTGTGTCGCGGCGTAACGTATACTGCTGACAACTGCTGCTGGTTGCTGCTAGTCTGTACAGTAACGGTGGTTGCTTGTATATGTTCCTTACTGACCTGGCTGTGTAGGTGATGTTTAATGTCGTTTTTTATTACTACTGCCATCCCTCCGTGTACTTTCCCTGAGGGATGCTTGATGTCGTATATGGTGTAGTGCGGTATTTTTATGTAGCTTTTTATTGTGAGGTGTGTTTTTGAGACGAGTAGTATATCGATGTTATTGCTGTACAGGAGTGTTGTAGACCGTTAGAGTTCAGGCTGCTATTTTAAGCGTGTCTATTTTTATTTTTTGCTCATCATGTTAGTAAGTAATTGTAACATGACTGTTATCTGCTGTGTTTGCTGTCTGAGGAATTCGTTTTGGTCGCTTATCATTTTTGTGAGTATTTCGGTGTTTTTTATGGAATGTTTTATTAGCTCTTTGATTTCTGTAGCGTCGTTGCTGTGGTTGTTCTGTTCTTGATTGTCTGGGGGTGACGACCGGTTGAGTACTTGCGCGTAGCTTCGGTTTCTAGCGGTGTTGGTGTTAGTGTGGTTATTGTTCCTTGCGTGCTGTGTTTTTGGTGTTGGCGTATGTTCTGTGTTGTCCTATTGCGTGTGGAGATTGTTGTGTGTCCTGTTACGAAGCAGCGGAAAAAGCTTGCCTTGAAGTTGCTTTCTTACTAGACAGCCTTTGTAACTCGCTGGGTGATTTCCACCGCAATTGTAACATTTTACGTCGTTTATTTTTCCCGTGTGTGGGCAGTTCGCTGTTAGGTGCTTTTATGCGCATTTGACACACAGGTGCTTTTCTGCGCATTTGACACACGCCGGGTTCCTGTTGCAATAATTTTTAGTGTGTCCATATTGTTGACACCTCATGCATTGTGGTATGTCTTTTTTATTGCCTGGGTGGCTCGACTGTGATTAGTGTGTTTAAGATTTTTTTAATATCGAAAATTTCCTTGTTGTCATTTTTAGGTTCTAATTCTATTAGGAATAGCGGTAGTGGTTGCTTCGTATCGTACCTTGTAATATTGTTTGTCGTTCTTGTTTGGTGGCCCATCTTTGCTAATTCGTCACTTAGTTTTTTTGTGTTAATTTTTGGGTGCAGTCCTCTTATAACTACTTTGTAGCTCCTTTCCGTTTTGAGCTGGTACGTGTGGTATATGGCATTTTTCCCCATAATTCTTTTATAACTTTTCTGTAATTTTCGGGTGTGTTTGTTTGGATTTTTATTTGTTCTAGTTTTGTTTGTTTTATTGTGTAACTATCCTTTCCAACAATATTGTTAAGTTGATCAATAAGCGGGTCTATCATTTGCGCCTCAACAAATATTGGTGGTGGTTTTGTGACGTGTGTTGATTGGGTTGTGGTGTTACTTGTTGGGTCGTCGTCTGATTCTTCTGTTAGCGAGCTGAAGGAGTTTCTTAGCGGTAATTCTTGCAGCCATCTAGGTTGGCTGTTATTTTTCTTTTTTTGTTATAGCTGGCTACCTTCCAGCTTTCGTCCTGTTGAGTTGTTCTATAGCTTTCCTTAAAAGAAATATTCGTGGCGACACGCGACAGTAAACATTCCAACGGTTTCTGTCCCATGGCTCGCCACACGCAGTCCCCATTCTTGAGGCAAGATGTTCACCAGATATCAACGCATCTCCACGGTTCATGTTCAGCTAGGACCGGTCACAAACGACGTTTCTCACTAGCAACTTTCCCTCAAGGACGGCTAGCATCCTTCTCTAACCACCAACATGGAAATTGACAAATTAATAGCAACGTCAATTTCCCTCACTTTCCGAACGAAGCCCTCTCTCCACGAATCTGGTGATCTCATGCCTTTAGACATGCCCTATTATAGTTTTCCTCTGCAGCATCATCGTGACGGAAAGTCACTCTCTCGTGCACTCTCAGCAACTAGTTACGTAGCGTTTTGATCAGTGAATTTCTCACGCTCTAACATAGAGTCCAACTTAGACTTTGACGAAACAATAAATTCGTTATCCCGTTGATTGCGGATTCGTTATCGAACCGGAGGTTATTGTTATTAGGGTCGCGAGTGCCCAGTCGCCGCCATTAATTGTCAAGTCTGTAGTATCCGTACTTGTGTTAATAAACTGTATCTTTTTTATACCACAACGAGGGCTAATTTCAATGAAGATTCATCAAACACCCACAACCCTACCTACAACGCCAACCCAACGTATATATATGTCGGGTTTGTCGGGTTGGCGCCGGTTCTTGGGGCGCGTTGCGTTTCTTTATTAGGACAAGCCATTGTAGTTGTTCAAAGAGGTTTATATTTACAGTGATATGTACAAGACTTGATTTAACAGGGTTTAACTATATAACGTTATAAGACACTCTTAAAGTAAAGACAATCTTCTTAGGTTCAAACGAATCCACGGTCAACGGGATAACTCTTTGTACAATTGGATATGTGTTGATACTCAAGTGATGTTAGGTATGACGTACGGTATCACTCAGACTGTCAGACTGACGTTGTGTCTAAACTCTTCAAGGTGATTATAAGAATAAAAGACAATTGCGTATTGATCGGGGTTATCAACAAAATTCCAGGCGCCGTAACTAGGCAGACTCACGTAGAGTCGTCATTGCTCCCGCCTCGGGACTTATTTGTTAATATAACGTGTGTCCCTCAATATTGGTACTTCTTCTGTTAAGTAAAACGTTCATCCCGTGACCGTGGGGAGCGGGCCTAGCCACGTGTGAAATTGCCTCGGAGGTGCCGATACAATGGGACATACATTGTATTAATAATCAAACTCCAGGCAGAAACTGCCTAGCAACGACGTTTTGAACTCTCTCGATGCTTCCAACGAGTGTGTATCAAACTTCAGGCAGGGGCTGCCTAGCAACGGGTGTTTGAAACTTTTTCGATGCTTCCAAACAAGTATAGAAAACAAAATGCAATCGTACAGCGAGAAAAATCTCCACAAGGCTGGCATTCGTGCGATTGCCTTGGAGAATGACACATCGAGCATTTTCAACAATCGTATTTTGCGCCTAAGATTAGTTTACGCTTAGTAAAGAGTTATCCCGTTGACCGTGGATTCGTTTGAACCCAAAAACATTGTTAATAGTGTTCATTAAACTTATTATTCATAAATCATATTATTCATTAAACTTACTATTCGTTAAACTTATTATTCATTAGATTTATTATCTGTTAAACTTAATTATTCGTACAATTTATTTTTCATTAACTTCATTGTTCATCAAACTTATTATTCATTAGGCTTATTATTTGTTAAGCTTTGTGAGAGTCTTGTATATACGTGTAAATATAATCTCGGCTTTGTGAAACGATGGTTAATCCACGCGAAGAGTTGTTATGCGCCCAAAATTCCAATAT